AGAGGGAGCCGGTGAGCAAGCTTTGTCAGAACGCAGACCTCCTGCTGTCGGGCTGGGTATGGGTCTCATGTTGCTCCGTGCTCGGTTCTGCCCTGTGGTGCTCCGGGAAGGTGCTCTTTATTTCTCCCGGTCATCAGAACTATGTCTGTGATGAATTACATCTGTTGCACGGGGTTTGGTGGGTAACAGGTATAGTCAGAGGCTTCTTAAGTTGATGTGAGATTTTACTGCAGTGGTGGGACTGGCCTGTTTACATAAATCACCTCTAAAAAGATGCAAAAGTGCGGCACGCATCTCACTTGCTAGTACTAAGATAAGCTTGCTGATAATGCCAAAGAAAGGTCTTAACCCAATGTGCTTAGGAAGCTCGGTTAAAGTAAAAATTGTATGTGGGAACACTTAAACGGGAAAAGTCCCAAAACCTGCAAGCAGACCTCTTGATTGAAATAGTTTGTAGCAGCACGTGGTATCGCAAAGTCTGCAAACAGATTTGGTCTAAGAGAACACTTTAGAGGTACTAGTGCTTCTGTCATTCCCTGCCCCTCTGGGAATGGGGAAGTTGTAACAACATAGGGCTAATCCAAGAATAACGAGGTATTTAGATACAATGGTATTTTCTGTAATTACTAATTAGTCTGGCACATTCCTCATTTGTGTATCAGAAGATGTGAAATGATACTTGGAACCATTAACTTTGTTTACTGAAAGGGGAGGCTTTGTCTTCCAGCATGCTGTCAGGAAGTGATTTGGTCATACTTGTCTTCATAGGTCCCGGCAGGGAGAAATGGTCTCACATGCTGCCATTACCTCCCTTGACCTGGTCCTGTCACTTGTCTTGACTGGGTGGTGACCAGTAACACAGGCCAGCAAGGTGGGGAGAGAGAGGGAGGGATGAATATTTTCATGCTGGTTTAGATCCCTGAACTGAGTCACTGTGGGACCAGATGAATGTCGGTGTTGGCATGAAGGGGTGTGGGAGCAGGCCTGCTTCCGGGGGCGCGAGCTGTTAAGTCAAATTTTAATGCCAAATCATGCCTTCACGGTGCCGAGCAGCTCCTCAGGCTTTGGTGCAGAAAATGGAGACGGCAAAGCACCCATCTTTCACAGGGAAAGGCAGCTGCTGGACAGCGGTGATTTGTCTCTCTCTTAACCTCTAAAATATTTTCCTTGAGTTCTGTGAAATTCGGCTTTTTTCTGAAATGCTCTGGGGTGGGGGATGGAAAAGAGGAAAAACAAGGACTATACAGATGACCAACACAGCAACAAAGTGAATATTCAGAAGGATTTTTCAATCTAGATAATACTGTCCACTACCTGAAAAATACTTCCACATAAAGAGCTTTTGTGCGTGTTCTCGCTGTCCCGCAGCTTTTCTCATTCTGAGCATGTAAACAGTTCTGCAGTCCTGGCTAGCTGAGTCATTGCTTTTCACTGAGCATCCCCCACAGAAGAAGCTAGAGACATCCAAAGCCTCAGTCACCCAATCAAAAGTGCTGGAGATGTGCAGGTCCAAAAATAGTGACAGACTCAACCACAACAGCACTTCATTAGCATCAAATGTGCTCTTTGCTTCAGCTGCCTAATAAAGTGATATGTAATTATAATAAAGCATCCTTTTGAGAGGAAAGATAGAGGGATATTGGCTTTCTCGGGGAATTGGGAATAAGATGCAATGCCTTATTATCTACAGGCACATATTTTTACCTATGAGCTGCCTCTGAAATGATCTGGTGGATTCGGTCTGGCCCAAAGAGGCTGTGCCCCAGCTGCTATGCCAGCCAGCAGTCACAGGGAGACTGACACTGGCTTTCCTTTGGGACCAGGAGCTGGAGAGGAAACTGAGGCTGATTTGCAAGACAAAGTACTTTCCAGTGCCAGGTTGGTAGAGAACGTTACCTTTGGTGTTCTCAGGTGTGACACACTGGGGTTTATCCTTAAGAGAAGATGCGTGAAGGTGCTTTTACAGGACACACATCCCACCTTGGCCAGGTGCTGAGGAAAAGAGGCCAAATGCCCAGATGTCCAGTGATCAGTTACACAGTTCACCTATGCTGTAGGATACCTATAGGATGTGCCTTGTCACACAGGGGCAGCTGAACCTTTTTCCCCCAGCGTACTTCCACCTGATCCCTGCCCTTCCTCTCCTCCTCACTCACAGAACTATTGCCACTGGTACACCCAGCCCCACTTCTGCAAAGAGTCATTCTGGATCTCCCCACAAGCTCAATAAAGAATAAATAGAATCTGGGGACAGTTTCTTTGTCTTTACCACCTGGAAGAAGCTCTGCTTTAGCCTTCTAGAAAATGTGGGCAAGATCAGCTGAGAAACCATTCATGGAGAAGAGCTGGCCTAGGCAGCCTCCCTCTAGCAAATGCAAGAGAACTCCTTCCACTCCAAATGCTGATTCCCATCACACTTTAAATGAGTCAAGCATTAGAAACCCCATCCAAATGGATTTTACTAACAGAATTTGTTCCAGACTCTCTGTATATTCTTCTTTCAGTACATTTTGTTTCTTGTCTTTCAGCATGAAGGGCTTCCTGGTCTATCCTAATTAAATAAAACTGGGTTTTAGGATCGAAACTTTTTTTCCAGTTTTCTAACTCCAGGCAAGCAATTGCTCAGTTTGAAACTGGAGAGCAGAGTTCTGCCCTGTCCCTGGCTTACTGTGAAGGCTGTTTTACTGAGGTCTCGTAAAGTTCCACTAGGAGAAGAGATCACATCATTTTCCTGTGCTGTTTAGGGGATTAAGCACCATACCAGTCTACAAATAGCAGTGGCTCCTAGGATTTTATCAGCTATTGCTCTGTTACAAGACGGACACATGGGCAGCTTAGTCTAAGAGATCTAGAACTGCATCGGGGAGTCATGTAAACTCCACTACACTTTCTTCCATCCTTATTGGAAGTAGCAGGTCACATAAATGACGTAATCATATGGGTACAGTATCAAGAGCTCCTGCTCCTACTCTGGTTTGGGGAC